TGCGCGGGGCTTGGCTGTTTGATGGAGCAGAGCATGGGAGAACGTTGGGGGATTTGATGGCTGTATGGGCGCGTGTGAGGGCGGCAGGTCGTAGCGGACGAGACCGAGGTCGTAGTAGCGTACGACGCGGGAGCCGACGCGGGGGATGGGCACATGGTCGAGGACTTGGGGGGAAAGGTGAGACGGGCGGCTTGAGATGATCGCAGAGGGCGGGGGAAAGGTTGGGAGGGGGGAAGGAGACGCACCTGCTTCTAACCGCCAGAATATGCGGTAGTCCTGGTAGTTTGCTGTGCTGAAGCCGGGCGTCCGTTTTGGAAGGGTAAGCTTGAAGGGGAACTCCATCTCCGCGACGTCTGCAAACTCCTTGTCGGGTGGTTTCACCCAGAGGACGTCAGTGTGATCGACGACGAGGGTGGACCGGAAGGCCCGGGAGCGAGTGAGACGGGACTGGTAGCAGCGGACGGAGATGGAGAGGGCGCGTGCGGGGATTGGCTTGCCATCCTCGTCCAGTTTTGTGCGGACGACTGGGGGACGTCAGCGGGGGCGGGAGGAGGCGGGGGAGACGGGGGACGTACCGCCCTCGACGCGGACTGGGGTGAGGCCGAGGTAGCCCTGGTGGGGGAAGTAGCGGTTGCCAGAGTTGCCCCTGGTGGTGGAGAGGACGAGGTGGACCATGGGGGGAGAGGGGGCGTCGGGCGAGCGGGGGAGGATATAAGTACATGGCGATGGAATTCAGAATCGGATTCGGATTCGGGTTCGGATGCGGGACAGGGTTCGAATTCGGATTCGGGGTTGCATTTGGCTTCGGTGATCCAACAAACCGTCCGTCGTCGACAAGAATCAGAGAATACCTCAGCTCCCAGAATTCTTCGGATTCCGTCCTCCTTCCCGCGCCCCTGCCCTTTATTTATTTATTTATTTCTCCCATCATCTCCCCTTTCGGCGTCTTCTGCCCCACGCCCGCCACTCGCTGCACACTCGCTGCCCGCCCGAGCCTCCTCCCCTCTCCTCGCCCGCCATGCCCTCCTCGCGCTATGTCCCCATCCTCATCGCGGGCATGCTCCTCACGGTGGGACACCTCCCTCTATGCGCCCTCGCACGACGCTGACCGCTCCCAGGGCTCCAGTAATTCCCTCTGGAGCAAATGGCAGGTCCGTCTCCCCCAGGGCCACTCCCGTCTCCGGGGCTCCTGACTAACCCCCGCCGCGCAGGACATGCAATGCGTAGAGAACTGTGGAGACTCTGATCCAGCACACCGCGTGCTCTACGAACAGCCCGTGTGGCAAACTCTCCAGATGTTTCGTGCGTCTCCCACTCGTCCACACACGTATCCATCCATAACTCACCGCTGTCACCTTCCGCGCCAGTCGGAGAAATGCTCTGTATGTCGCCTTTCTCGTTCGCAGCGCTCGATTCTCATCAGCCTGTCTACGCACGTGTAATTCATCAGGCTTCCTTCCTGTCATCCTCGCCTGGGTCCGCTCGAAGCGCCAGTCCCAGCCCCTGCATCTCCCTGCCGACTCCGAGGAAGAGCCTGCGGTCGGTGCAAAGGCCGAGATTCCCCAGGAGCATCTTCACGGCTGGAAGGTTTTCCTCCTCTGGTTTCCCGCCGCTTGTGATCTCACCGGCACGACGGTACGCCTGCTCCTAACCCTTTCTCGACCCGCCATTCTCTCATGCCAATCACCTGTGTACCCCCTTCCGTCACAATGCGTCCATATAGTTGATGAACGTCGGCCTCCTCTACACCCCGGTCTCGATCTATCAGATGACCCGGGGCGCCCTCGTCCTCTTTGTCGGCGTTCTTTCCGTCATCTTCCTCCGCAGGCGCCTCTGGCTGTACCAGTTGAGTTTTACCATGCTTCCCACCCATTCTGCTCCTTGCAGCACAACGCCGCCTACCACGCGACTTGTGCGGGACGAGCTGCTTACTCTTGTTCCCAAGATGGATATCCCTTGTCACTGTTATGGCAGGCGTTTCACTCGTCGGTTTAAGCGGTTCTTTGGTCAAGGATGCCGTCAAAGAGCCCGCAGTGAACATGTTTGACGAGCTTCCTACTCCGGAGCCCGTGGAAGAGCCTGAAGTGACGAAGGTCCTCGTCGGTGTGTTTCGCCTTCTCATGCGCAGTATGCTTCCTCGTCATCTGACCGCAACCTCCAGGCGTGTTCTTCATTCTTTTCGCTCAAATTTTGTACGTCTCCCAACGTCCACTTCTTTTCCTTTCCGCTCGTCTGCCTGTCGTATCCTATCATTCTGCTGCGCCCCGTACTGAATGCCGCTTCCCCTCCGCTGCGCACATTCTATCAATGCTCGCTCGGATGTTCACAGCACGGCCGCGCAGTTCGTCGTCGAAGGTCAGCAGCATGGCTTGCCTCCCTATCATGCAAACATTCGTTCACACTAGCTCCCTTCACGCCGCGCACAGAGAAGATTATGAGTCGGTACTCCGTAGCGCCGCTGGTCGCCGTAGGGTACGAAGGGCTGTTCGGGGCGGTCAGCATCGTTCTCGCCATGCCGCTTCTCGCACGCTTCTCCTCGGTCTCTCCCTTCTTCGATTTGCCGCGTGGCTGGCACCAGATGGTCGACACCCCTGCGGTCCTGTGGTCCGGTGTGGTCATCGCCTTCTCCATCGCACTGTTCAACTTCTTCGGTCTCAGCGTGACGCGCCATGTCAGCGCCACTGCGCGTAGCCTGACGGACACGTGCAGGACGCTGAGCATTTGGATCGTCAGTCTCGGGCTCGGTTGGGAGGCGCTCGTGTGGCCCATCTCTCTCCTCCAAGTCGCGGGGTTCGGGCTTCTAGTGTACGTGCTTCGATCCCCTCGTGTCAATGCGGTGATGTTCACCCACGTGTTGTGTTTGCAGATACGGAACGGTCAGTTCATCCATGTTCTTCCTCATTGCGTGTCGTAACGCGGCTGATTCCTCGCCGCCCAACCACAGTTCCTCTTCAACCACCTGGTCACTCCCCCGCGCTTCTTGCGACCCACGTCGGGCCATGCGCCTGCTGCGCCGAGCGAAGACGAGGGCGAGACGCAGACGCTGCTTGCCGAGGACGCGCTCGAAGACACTGCCGTGCTCCCGTCCGAGCTCGGACGCAGTGGATTCGATGTCGTCCCTCCCGAGGAGCATGCGAGCCACACTCACGCGCACTCGTCTGGCCCCGCGCTCGCTGCAGATGAGGGTGAGGTCAGGGTTTAAGCGGCTCGTGCGAGGTAGTTGCGTGTCCTGCTCGGACGGCCTTTTGCGCAAATCGATATTGCGGGGGGCAGTCCGACTCTTTCCGCGTGATCTAGTTCCGTACGTGTGCTCGGCGGCCTTGGCGATGACTTTCTAATGGGTCGGTTGGATCGTGTATATTGTTTAACGTTCGACACGCCTGCTGGGCGACAATGCATACCACATATCTATCAAATTTGTCATACGGAGACTGGGATGGACTTTATTGTGCAGGTGTGCTGACCTGTCTTGTCTGGTTTACTCAATATCTCGACTACCGCTTGGACTGCCAAAGCGATCAGCTAGAAGGACGGCTAGAAGCAAGGCGCGGCGGGGAGCAATAACATTGTCTAGTGACGCCACGGACACGGACAGCGAATGCAAGCATCGGATGGATCAGATCTAGTGTTGGCGCGGACGAGTCGGGCCACGGCGTGTTCGATGATCAGCGCCGCATCGGACCGCGTGCATCTCGCTTGTCCACGTCGCGATCTCGAGCTCGAGCTCGAAGCTTGATTACCGGTCGCCCGCTCTCCTCGGCGACGACCGCCCCCTCCACGCTCGTGCACCGACGACCGACGCGACGCTGCTCCGCCGACTGGCACTCTTTGACGAACGCGGGCCCTCTCGAGGGCGACACGTCGAGCATATCAATACGGGGCTTCGGCGCGCTAGCAGCAGCCATACTCCCAAGCGAGATGTGCGATCTGGCGCGGGTCGAGACGCGACGACGGTCGTCACGTATGGTCCTTGGGAGGTTCCGCCGCAATAACGCTGGCACACGCTGTGCGGCTGATACGGGCCAACGCGCACCACCACCCAGGCTCACCTGACGCGATGCGCGTCGACCGTGTGCGCGCCCGGCTGGCGGCGTCGGAACAGGCGAGCATCTGGGAAGCGGGAAGCTGGAACGGCCGCACGGCCTGGCGTCAGCACGAGGCCTGCGACCGCCCGCCTTCCAGGAAAAGGCGCGTGCGTCCTGGACGCCTGCGCCTCTTTCCGTCAACGACGTTGCCCTTTCGGCGCGTTCTGGAGACGCGGGCCTCCGACACGCGCGTCCTTCGCTCTGGCCTGCAGGCAGAGCCACGATGCACGCGTGCACCCTCGTCTGCGTCACTTGAAGTCGCAGCGCGCTGCACGCGTTGTCAAGCAAGCCTCTTCTCCCCAACGACCTTGGCAACTCCAGGCCGTCCAGATCCACCGGGCAAGTGCAAGTACAAGTACAAGCTCGCAACCCGTCGACTCCACGCTCCAGTCGGTGCTCGTATTGGCCACTCGATCCCGGCAAACCTCGATGTGCAAAACCGTGCACCCGTGCGCCCGCGCGCGCCGTCGCCGCCAGAGTCATCATGCATCATGCAGGGAGGCTGTCAACCTGGGACCCTCCCCCCAAGGACCCGTCACCCCGATGCGCTCCGTGGCGCGTTGAGAGGAGAGCTCGACAGCGCCGCCGCCACGGGGCGCACTCCGACGACAGGCTGCATGCATGGCGTGTCTCGGATTCTCAGCCCGTCTCGCCGTACCACCGACCGGGCGTCGACGTCGCAGAAAGGCGGCCATGTCCGCACTACCCGCACGCAGGGTCAGACATGTCAAATATTGTCGTTCGTACCACGTCTGCGGCGAGGTTGTTGGATCGACTTTGAATTCGAGTCTCTTGTCAGAATCGGTCGTGTTCGGACACGAAGCGGCGAAGTACCTGCATACGCTACAGGCGTGCAGTAATTAATTAGCTTGTCCGGTCGGGGACTTGTCCACGCAAAATAAATAATTAAAACAACTGCCCCAGTGAGGCTCGAACTCACGACCTTCCGATCGCAGTAATCAACCCGCAGGTTGTATTACCTAACAGTCGGACGCTGTAACCAACTCAGCCATGGGGCACCTGGTACGTCTTTTCACTTTTGCATACTCTATATACATCAGTATCATGCTTCGAACGCAGTCGCCAAGGAGAAGCTCAAGTAGCTCTACTATTGCAAGTCATTACAAGTCATTACAGAGTTCCTAACGTGCAGATGTATATATATCTATTCAGGTCCCGGACATCTAGTCCACCTTAAGCTTTGTTGGCGGGGACACGAACGTAGCCTACGTGAGCGAGTGCTCAGTTAGCGACGCACACAATACGGGCGATCACGCAAGCCTACTCACAGAGACGAACTTGAGGACTTCGTCGATGAGCAGCACCGGAGCGCTCAAATACAATACGGCCTTCCATTCCGTCCAGTTGAGAGGGGCGATGGCGAACAGCGTCTGCAACAGCCCACCGTCAGCACGCGCCTCTCATACGCGACAGCATCCAACTCACAGTGAAGAAGGGGATATAGAGGATCGCGACGTGAAGCGCCATGCTGAGCGCGATCGCACCGACGAGGAACATGTTGCGCCAGATCGGCAGGCGGAGCAGGCTCTCGTTCTCCGACAGCGAGTTCATCGCGTTGAACATCTCGACGGTGACGAGGATGGACAGGCTCATCGTCGTCGCGCGCTGTGCCATCACGTTCGTAAACATCTCACAGCCGATCTCGGGGAACAGCGTCGAGCATTGATGGAAGTTGGTCTGGGCGAGATCGTGTTAGCGGAACTGGCACGTTGTGGGACAAGACATGGAACGTACCAGTTGGTGGAAGGTGATCTGGGGTCCACCAGTGTAAAAGATGAACCACCAAGCATATCCAGCGACGGTCGCGACACCGACGTACGTCCCAATGACGAGGTAGCGGAAGAAGAGCCACTTGCCAACGATAGGCTCGCGGCTGTCACGAGGAGGGACGCGCATGATGCTATGATCAGGAGGGTTGAAGCCGAGCGCTGTCGCCGGAAGACTGTCCGTGACCAAGTTCACCCAGAGCAGTTGGACGGGGATCAACGCCTCGGGCATGCCAAGAAGGACCGTTAAGAAGATACTGACGACCTCGCCAATGTTCGACGAGACTGCCGTCATGTCAGTACTTCACGACATAATATGTCTGACGCCGAGCACTTACTGAGGTAGCGGATGAACTGCTTCGTGTTGTTGTAAATCAACCTGCCCTCCTCGACGGCCTGTTCGATCGTAGCAAAGTTAGAGTCGGTAAGTACCATGTCGGCGGCGAGCTTCGCGACGTCCGTGCCGCTGCCCATTGCCACGCCAATGTCCGCCTTCTTCAGCGCGGGCGCATCGTTGACACCATCACCGGTCTACCACAAACATCAATACACGGCTCAAATACGCCTAGATACTGGGTCACTCACCATAGCGACAACCAGACCCTGGCTCTGTAGCAGATCGACCAGCTGGCTCTTGTGCGTCGGCTCCGTGCGACTGAACAGACTCGCGCGCATGACCGCCTTGAGCTTCTCTTCGGGACTAAGGTCGTCGAGCTCGCGGCCAGTGTAGCTCTTGCCGGTAAGATCCTCATGCTCGCCAAAGATGCCGATCTGCCTGCAGATCGTCTCCGCGGTACCCTTGTTGTCGCCAGTAATGCAGATGACACGGATGCCGGCCGCCTTGCACTGCGCAACGGCGTTGCGCACCTCGGGGCGGGGCGGGTCCAGCATGCCAACGAGCGAGACGAAGGTGAGGTCCTTCTCGAAGCGCGCGTATCCGGCTGTCGTCTCGGACTTGTAGTGTTCGGGGTCGAGCGACTGGTTTTCAGCGTATGCGAGGGCGAGGGTGCGCAGGCCTTGGGAACCGTATGCGATCGTGCTCTGGAGCAGCGCATCGCGGAGCTGGGGGATCATGGGGATGGCGCGGCCATTGACGAGAACGGACGTGCAGCGCTCGAGGATAGACTCCGGAGCGCCTTTGGCGAACAGAACGCCAGAGCCGTTCTTGCGTGCGAGGACAGACATCATCTTGCGGTCACGAGAGAACTCGAAGGTCAGAACCCGGGGGATTGTGCGTTCGTAGAAGTCGTTCACAGCGTTGGCACGGGTGGCGGGGTCAAGATACGACAGGTTCTTCGCAAGTTCCGAATCAGGGCACGGAAGCTTTTCAGCAAGGACCTTCAGTGCCGCCTCTGTAGGTTCACCGAGGTTCGTGTACGTCTTCTTGTCCTGTGGGATAATGTTATAAGTTGGCCGTTCAAATTATGGGGACCTCCGGCTTACAGCGTGGTAAACAATCTTCGAGTCGTTGCAAATTGCGCTGATTTCTGCAAGTCGCTGCAGGGGCTCTGGACGGACTTCAGCAATGGCTTTGCCATCGGCAGGGTAGACCGACCCTTCGGGCGCGAAGGTAGTGCCTTCGACAAGGTACTCCCGAGGAGTGCCAGAGATGTCGACAACGGTGAACTGTCACAACTTTATCAGTAAACCTTCACAAGCTATGCGGAAGTAGATGGGCTGACCTTCGACACGCTCATCTGGTTAGTAGTCAACGTGCCAGTCTTGTCGGAACATATGACGTTGGTACAGCCAAGAGTCTCGACGCTAGGCAGGTTGCGGACAATAGCATTCTTCTGAGCCATTTTCTTCGTCCCCAGAGCAAGACAAGCCGTAATGACAGCAGCAAGACCCTCAGGAATAGCAGCAACCGCAAGCGCGACGGCGATCTTGAAGTAGTATATCGCACCCTTGAGCGCGCCATGGTGCGCAGGATCCCAGAAGTGGCGGACATTTACGAGCCAAACGAGTATACAGATAACGGTGATGACCTTTGCGAGCATGTCACCAAAGTCGTCGAGCTTGCGCTTGAGAGGGGTCTTCTCACTAATCTGGGAAGTGATTGACTTGTGAATGTCACCAATGGCAGTCTTCTGCCCGGTGAAGACAACGACAGCGGTACCCTTGCCATTGACGACGGTCGTGCCCTGTGCGGCGATTAGTTAAAACACCTGACTTAGGTGCCTGGGCGAACTCACGGAGAATAAAAGGTTAATCATATCCTGCTTCACGGCCCGGGGATCCTGGACGGCATCCACAACCTTGCTTACGCTCACGCTTTCGCCGGTGAGGATAGCTTGATCAACGCGGAGGCTAGTAGAAGCGACAGAAAGTAGTCTGCAATCCGCAGGAATTTTGTCACCAACAGCGATGGAGATGATATCTCCAGGAACGAGCTCGGTCGCGTGAATACGCGTCCATTGGCCGTCACGCAGAACCTTTGCCTCGTCGGGGGAGTACTCTTTGAGGGCCTGTAGTACAAAAGCATGAGCTCTGCTCACACACGTGGAGAGTCGAGCCGACTGACGTCGATGGCTGCCTCTGCGTTCGTTTCCTGGATCACGCCAACGGTCGCGTTGGCTACGAGGATGAGCAGAATGACGAGGGGCTCGACAAACGCGCTCCACCATGCGGCGCCCTCAGACTCCTCGAACAAGGCGAGAACGAATGAGACAACGGCAGACGCGAGTAGGATGAGGACGAGCTGGTCCTTGAACTGCTCGAGAATGAGCTCCCATAATGGGGTTGGGGGATCTTCGGGTAGCTCTGAAGGCGAGAGGGAGTTTCTTAAGCAGCTGCGGCATAGATTGCGCCATAGGGACGGATATCACGTACCGTTCTTCCCGTAAAGTTCAGCGTGCTTGGCAGCTGCCTCCGACGTAAGACCCCGGGTCTGGTCCACGGCATAGTACTGTAGCACTTCTTCTCCGGTCTTCGTCCATGGGGTATCCATGTCGACAGGCCTTGAGCTGGAGATGCAGGCGCAGAGAGCGGGGGAGGAAAAAGAGAGGGATGAGAGAGTGTGGACCAAAGTCTGGAGAAGTCGCTCGGCTAAGGGCGGTGGTATAAATCCAGTGCCGGCCAACGGGAGCGCGCTTAGCTGACGTGGCGATTCCCCTCAGTCGTGGAACCCGTTCTCCCGCTGCCACCGCGGTGGAAACACAGGCCGCTCCCCGCCGTGTGCTTGAGAACATTCGCATCTGGTCTCTCTCGGTCATCTGACGCCCTCTCTATGCTGTCTATGTGAACACAGACATGCTTGGGAACGATGCAGAGGCACACAGCGTGCATCGAGTGCCAATACCCTAAAAGCGCCCGTGGCACGCGACGGTGGTCGTGCGAAATAGGCATGTGCGCGAAGGTCCTCGATGTTTGCAATGACATACGTTTGTGCGGACCATCACGAGTTTTCACACGAGAGGGAAAAGGGAACAACCACCTCATTCCGACGGTCCCACGCATGTGAGCCAAACATAGTGTGTAGTTACATTCAATAGTGTCAATAAACACACTTGAGGTGGACGAGTCACAGACGGTCGTGACAGACTTTGAAGGAGCTGTCAAGTGGGTTGTACAACATCTCATTTCAGCGAATAATCGAGTCCTGGCGAACGAGAACGATTTTGCGATTTGCCAGTAAACCGGTTGACTGCCAAAGAACAAACGAGTGAGACGCGTAAAAAGGAGGACCGGGGATACCCGAGTGAGCGCGCCGACGGTGTAAGCGTAGTTGTCGCCGTCACCGGGCTGTGTGACGACGACAACCTGTATCCGACACCCTCTTTCGAGTAGAGGCCCGCCTCTTGTCCTCGACGCTCACCCCCTCTCTGCGTCCTCACATACTTCTGCCATGGGAAACAGTGTCTCGTCCGGCCGCGGGCACCATGAAGACATGGTCGACTTCGGCTATCTCACTCCTCAGGGGATCTACACTGGTCCTCGGGACTGGAATCAGTCAATTGTGACCCAGTTAATCATCGAGCGCAAGCTCGCTCCATTCTATCGCCCATTAGAAGACTACGATGAGTCCTGGGACGACGACCAGATTCTAGCCGCTCGAAAGGAGCCACCAGAATCCGAGGGCGGGGAGTCCTCACGCGCCGAGTCAATTAGTTCAGCAGTCACAAACCGCGGGCACCAGAAACGACCCAGTGCGGTTAAGGAGCCCACTCGACATCCTGAGGCTGCCATATACAGGGATGCGATGGAGTGTCCCATATGTTTCCTGGTGCGTT